GTGTGTGTGTGTGTGTGTGTGTGTGTGTGTGTGTGTGTGTGTAGCCTTGACTGTCCTGGAACTAGCTTTGTAGACTAGGCTGGCCTCCAACTCTCAGAGATCCTCCTGCCTCTGCTTCCCGAGTGCTGGGATTAAAGGTGTGCACCGATACTGCCTGGCGACTATTTAGGTCTTTGTATTAGTTGCTGTCTTGTTGCTTTGACCAAATGCCTATTGTAATGGCTACTAATGTCAACTTGACAAGATTTAGAATAAACCAGAAGACAAACCTCTGGGTATCTTTGTGAGACAGTTTCTAGATTTGGGTGAGGTATGAGTGGTACCATTTTATGGGCTGAAGTTCTGAGCTGACTGGGTAAATTGGGTACCAGTATTCACACTGCTTTTTGACTATAATGCTGTGTGACTACTTCATGCTCCTTTTACCATTCCTTCTCCTCTATGGTAGACTGTTAGTTTCAAACTGAGCCAAAATGAATGCTTCCTTCCTTAAGCTGTTTTTGTCATAGCAATAAGAAAAGTAACTAATACCACTGAGAAGAAGCAACTAGGGAGGAAGTGTGGGGAAGGGAAAAGAAAGAAAGGGAAGAAGGGTTTGTTTTGGCTTGAGGGTGCAGTCTGTAATGATGGGGAAGATGTGTTAAGAAAAGTTCTAGCTATGGTAGACAGGAGCATGAGGCAGTTGGTGAGGCAATTGGTCAGTCACATTTTGTCCATAGAAAGCAGAGGTGAATCTGGTGCTCAGTTAGATTGTTATTCCCTTTTGCATTCTTACTCAGTGTGGCACCCCAACCTATGGGATGGTAATGCCCATATTTAGATTGTGTCTTCCCTTAGTCAAACCTCTTCAAAAATACCCTTACTGGAATCCAACCAGGTTGGCAGCGTAGATGAGCCTTTACAAGCCATCTCTTCTCAAGCACAGTCATTTTAAAATCAATTGTTCCAGGCAGGCAGTATTGCTTTTTCACTGCATCTTTTATTATAGGGCTGTCCATTGGAAAGAGTCACCCTCTTGGGGAGTTATCTGAAAACACCCTCTGATGACTTTCAAGTGATGCCAAGGCCAATCAAATGGACAATAATGATGAACCAACACAATCTTTACTTAAGATTATATAACAAATGAATGTGTATGATTTTTATATAATTCTGTGTTTGTTGTCTTTCAAAGATGACATTTGCTTGGAATTTGATATAGCAGTTTATTATCATTTACTGGATTACAGTTTGCATTTTTGAATTAAAATTTTATCAGGTCACAGAAATTATCTCAGAGATTCGTGCACCTATCGTTACTGTTCATGTTGATCCATCTGATACAAGAAAGAAGGAACTCAAGGTGAGTCTCTTCTGAATCAAAGATATGCCTTAGATTTCTGCCTCTTGCTGGACTGCTCAGATATGTTCTCATCAAGTTAAGTCATTAAGTGTCCCACTCTAAAAGTATTCAAATTGTTACCAGATTATAACATTTGCTGATAACTGTTTTAGGAGAATAAAATCTTCTGTTTTACTGTTTCAATCTTGAGTCTTTGAGATATTGTGACACATTTTCATGTTAGTTTTTTGGTAGATGATCAGTTTCTATCTTTCTTTAGATGGCTGAAATAAAAGTTAAGCTTATTGAGACTAAAGAAGCTTTGGAGAATTGCATTGCCATACAGGATTTTGATCAGGCATCAAAATTAAAAGAAGAGATAAAAACATTAGAAAATGCTAGAATAAACCTGTTAAAAGAGATGGAGGAACTTGAAATTAAAGAAGTTCACACCGAAAAGGTATATGTAATTTTTCATAGTAAATTTTAACTATTATATCAACACACCTTATTTTTTTTTGATTCATTAAACTACCAGAATGTATTTACTTTGGAGGGAGTTGTGACAATACATGAATTAAAATGAAAAGAGAAACTTTAGTTTTGAAATTTCTTTATTGTATTTTTATTATTGTGATGTTTGAGACAGTCTCATCATGTAACTCTGACTGGCCAGGAACTTGCTATGTAGACAAGCTGGCCTTGAACTAATGGAGATCTACTTGTCTATGCCTCTGCCTCCCTAGTGCTGGGATTAAAGTGGTATGCTACCACACCAGGCCTGACATTTTTGGACTTTGAAAAATAACCTTTAATTTGTGTAGCTGGGACTTGTTCTCTTGTCATGCTTATCCCTGGAATTTGATTGCTTTATTTCTTTTCGGGAAAACTAGTCTTCTAGTGATTTACTTAGGTGTTTTATTCATTTATTTATTTTTCTTGAATGGTCTAAAAAGGAATTGCATCCATCTTTTCCTTTTGTGAAAGGTCTATGACCTTTTTATTGCTAGGAAAAAACATCTTTGGTAAAGAAATACTTCAACTGAGATTTAGTATCTTCTTTGGTAAATATACATATGCATGGTTAGAAAAAGACCAAGCAGCTTTGTTATTTTTTAAAGTTTATTTATTTGTAGTTTAAAAATTAATTTATGTATATTTTTAAAATCTATTTGTGTGTATGAGTGTTTTACTTGGATGTATATGTGTGTTTTATGTGTGCCTGGTGCTCTTGGAGGTCAGAAGAGAGTATCAGATCCTGAGAAACTTGAGTTTCAGATGGTTACGAGCTGCTATGTGGGGGTGCTAAGAACAGGATGTGGTCTTCTATGAGAACACCAAGTACTTAAGACCACAGAACCCTCTTTCCAGTCACAGCTTTGTTAATGAAATACTTGATATTTAGTAATATTTGAAGTGTTGCTGTTTTCTAACTTAGCCATTTGACAAATTATCTCTTAAAAGTATTATGTCTTTGGTCATGAATTTTTTTAGCATATGATAGAATGTATCAGTTTATATATTTTATATTTTTAAAGGTCTTGTCTTTGTATTGAACATTTCTACAATTGCACTTTGATTTGGGGAGTCCTTAAGGCAGTGCTGAATAGGAAAGTTTACCATATATAAGAGTGTTTTAGAATTAATCATGTATCCTTAAACTTTCTAGTCATAAATATATCCTAACATAACAACTCATATTCTCAGTGAGAATGTCTCAATTATTTTTATTTACAATTGGTGGCTTATCCTAGCCTATCAAATTTTAGGAACAACAAAAAATGAAAAAAATTCAAATTAATAAACTATTTGGATAAGTGTGATGGTATGTATCTATAATATTAGTGCTTTGAGTTAGAGGGAGAAGATCTGGATCAAGGCCATCTTGGGCTATGGAAGTGAGACCCTGTTTTAAAAATCTAAGGAATGGAGATGTAGCTTAATATGAGAGTGCCTGCTTAGTATATGCAAGGCCCTAGGTTTGATTCCTAGCCCTGTCTGTCCCTCCTCCCCCAAAAGAGAAGGAAAACATTTGTAAAGGTAATCTACCTGACTAATAGTCTGATTAATAATCTCTTGACTTCCATTGAACATTGAGTGTCTTTTTTTCTTATTTTGGAGCCATAACTATTATAATTCTAATGTAACAGACAATGTGACCAGGAAACTATAGAAATTTTATTGAGAAGTATGTAATCTATATAGAATGCTACTGGTTTCCCTAGAAGAAGAAATAGATTAACCTGAGATGTGAATAAAATTAATGTGTTAGACTTGAATGAAAACATTGTTATGAGATACTAGCTAAGAAAACAGTTGGAAGGGCAGGAATGTTTGTTTGGGTTCATTGTTTCAGGGGTTTCTACACTTTAGGGTTGAAAGGGTATGAAAGTCCTAAGCTGTTTTTTCCTTTCCTGGATTGTGTTCTTGTTCAGACCTCCTGCCTGTGGGATGGTGCTACTTGTATTCAGAGTGGGTCTTCCCTTCCTTCCTTAATTGTCTTTGGAAACACTGTCACAGACACATCCAATGTATGCTTTACTAATGTTCACTAGCTGCTTCTCAGCCCAATCAAGTTGTTACAAGTTTAACTATCACACATAGTACAACCTAACAAGAGTACAACCTAACAAGTTAAAGGATGGTTTGGTTTGTCTATCCTTTAGTGGTAAGCTAGTCAGGTGATTACTCCTTCAAGAACTTTACAAATGTACATTCATTATTCTTATTGCTCCCAAGTTCTACTGGTCTTTCAAACCTAAATAGTTACTATAAAATTTATGCCTTTAAAAGCACTTGGTGTTGTCTTTCCTTAATGAGTAGTTAAGGAAATACAGATGTTGTAATAGTGTGTATGATGTCCCAGGGTTTTAAAAATGGTGCTTGTTGTGCTTTAAAACTTGAGGTTTACATAGAGAGAGAATTGGATTGATAATAGATAAATAGATAAACAGAGAAAATGTTAAGGGCCAAGTAAATGTAAGGCCTCAGCTAGTCAATATTAAAGAATCTACCTTATTCAGAGATGATGGTGGATACAAGAATATTTAGAGTAGGATGAGTACTCTGTCTTTAGAATGGTTAGTATTTGAAAATAGATTAAAAAGTGATAAAGGCCTAGATAGTCATTATTCTTGGTAGACTTTTGGAAGTATAGCTTGAGATGATGGCACTGTGAATGAGACAGTGGTCAATATAAATAGAAGAGATGTATGATAGAGTTATTTAAGGTTTAGTAGTAAGAAGAAGAGAGAAACAAGAGTTTCTTGGGCCTTTTTTGCTTTTGACAAATGGAGAGAGTTGTTCATAATATAGAACACATGAGCTAGAAATTAAGTAATTTGTTAGTTCCATTTTGGAGTTGACTTTGAGGAGCCCATGGGACATGCAAGAAGTGTATTGTCTTACTTGTATATAAGAAGTTGAAATTTTGAAAATAGCTGGGTACTATGCGACAGAACTTTTACTGGGGAGATGCAATGCATACATCCATTCACCCAATAGGGATCCCACCATAGACCAAAGTACAGATAATACCAAAGTCCAACTTGGTGAACCATTGAGTTTTACTGGGGTTACTTATAGAAATATGAGAGAGGGGTTACTTATAGGAGCAAAAATGACTCATAGACATCTGCGTCACCAAAGCCCACCCTAGAGTTGGTGACAGCTCACAAAGCTGGGAACCTATAGCACACTATATACTCTGCAGGCAGCTTATCAGGCTGGAGAATGTCCTTTCCAGGTGCCTTACTTGTTCTAATCCTTTAACAGGCAGCTCAGCTTGTTTCTGCTTCTTCCACGCAGAAAGCGTGGTCTGGTATCAGAGTTTTTGTTGGTGGCTTGTCTGAAAATCTTTTCAGCTTTTACTGCTTACTCTGGCAGGGAGGGGCTTAGTGATTTTGGTCATTTTCAGTGATTTCTTGAATCTATTGTGAGTTGTTCACCTTCTGTTTAAGGAGCTTCCTTTAGGATGGAAAGTTTCAATTTAGGAAAAAACTGCTAAATAACCCTGGGCCAGCTTAATAATGAAAAATGGAGTTGCATGGTTGGACAAAATTAATTGTCTAGGTAACAGAGAGTGACAATATGCCAAAGAAAAATTCTCAAGAGAGAAATTGTTTAAGGGATAGGCAAAAGATATTCTTACTAATGCTGGATATTTTGTCCCTTATTTTAGAATGATGCTGAAACATTACAGAAGTGTCTTATTATGTGCTATGAACTATTGAAGCTGATGTCCATTTCAACTGGAATTGGTGCAACCATGAATGGGATCGTTGAATCTTTGGTAGACTGCTGGCCTCTGAGGCCTTATACTCTTATACTTTATTATATAATATGTTCATTAGTGCTTAAAATAAAATTATCATTTAAAACATCTGATAAATACAAATAGTGAACTATGTATATCCATAGTGACTACTACATAGTATGAGGAATAATAAGATAATGCATTTTTATAGACACTGTGTTTTAAATAAAATATAATCAGTTCACTCAGCATATGTTCACTGAATGCATGTTATCTAAGAAATGCTTAAAATACAGTGTGCATAAGATATAAAACATGCAGCTTGCCATCCTGGATCTTCTGCTCAAGTGAGGGTGACGTTAAAAATAGATGCTATATATATTTATGTACTTATGTGTGCAATAATAACAAAAAAAGAGGCCATCCATTTAAAAGAAGATATGGGGAGAATGCAGTGGGTGGGAGGTTACATGGAAGGGGTTGAAGGGAGCAAAGGGAAGGGGGAAAGTATTATAATTAAAATATAAAAAATAGTTACTTGGGCTATAGTCACTGCTTATGAATATTTATATGGTTATAAGTTAACTTAATAATTGCAGGGTTTGACTTATTCAAGGAGAATGGTCCTGCTATGATACTTAAAAGATATATGAAAAAGAGATATGAAGAATATTTAAAACCACAGCCATGTATAACAATTAAAAACTAGGTTAGATTGATGCATAGTATAACAGTTTTAAAGATGGAAGAATATGAATTTGTCTCACTAATAGGTTTTGTCATTTATATTCTATTCTATACAATATTTTGAGTATATAAGGTAAACTATAACATAAAAATAGTACTTTTACTAATTTCTTTTTGCTTTAATAAGGATTTTAAAACAACCAAAATGACATGTGATTTCTATTTGTGGACTCTATTTCTGTTGGGTAATAGTAAATAGGAGTCATCAAAATCAGATTGTTAAACATGCTAAAGACACACTAAGATGTGTCTGAAATAAGGATGTAGGAAGTACTACACATTATATTAAGGAGTTTTGTCTCAATCTGTTAGCATTGGGAGTCCTTGAATCAGTTTAGCAGATGTGGGAGTATTACATATTGAAACAGGAGCATTGCTCTGGCTGTGTTCTGTTTAATCAACTTTGTAATTACCCCTTTTCATTTTTAACTGATAAAACTTTCTTCTTTATTATCAGTATGGAAATGAAATGGCCTTACAAAATTATATGGAAGTCATCATTTTGATGGTGATTTTAATATGGCATTGTAAATTTCTTCCCTTGGTCAACATTATTTTAATTTTTACTTTGTTGTAGATTCTCCCTGGAATAATAAGTGTTCATCCTATAGTAAGAAATTTGGCTGTTTTGTGCTTGGGATGCTGTGGACTACAGAATCAGGATTTTGCAAGTAAACACTTTATGTTATTTTTACAGGTAGGATTTATTTATGACAAAAATCATGTTTCTATTTCCTGAAATGCTTTGTGTTTCTGGTGATATGTTAATATTCTGAATGTGTTCAGATGCTTATTGATGACTGTGGATAATCTGTAGGGATTCAATTTTTATCTTGATATCTTTTCAAGATGTCCTAATAGAAAAAAATGAAGTAATAATTTGAGAATGTAGCTTATGAGAGTGCATACTATGTTCTGTCAGTGTTCTCATCTTAGGATAAACACATTAGGTAAGTGATGAAGAAAACCAACTTAACTTTGTGTTGTTGGAGCTTGGATTTCTGAAAGGGAAACAAACTGAAAAACATGAGTGTTATGTCTGCTGAGCAAAGATAGAGCTTTGCAGCAGCAGGAATAAGAATGAGAAGAGGGAGGGAGATTCATTGATGGTGGCCTTTTGACATTCAGGATTATTGAGAAAAGTTAAAGAGCAAACTTTATAAATACTTCTTGGGTTCCTTTTTTTTTTTTTTTTTTTTTTTGTTTGGTTTTTGAGACAGGGTTTCTCTGTGTAGCTTTGGAGCCTATCCTGGCACTGGCTCTGTAGACCAGGCTGGCCTCAAACTCACAGGTATCCGCCTGCCTCCCGAGTGCTGGGATTAAAGGTGTGCGCCCCCAATGCCTGGCCCTTTTTTTTTTTTTTTTTTAAGACTTATTTTTCTATGTATATCTCTGTGTGTATATTATGGTGATATTTTGTTTATGCTATAACAAATAAAGCTTGCCTGAACATCAGAGTGTAACGCTAGCCACATTAGTTAGCAATAGAGGCCAGGCAGGGATGACACATACCTTTAATCCCAGCAGTCGTGAGGTAGAGGCAGACGGATCTCTGTTAGTTGCAGGCTACCCTGGGCTACACAAAAATTTATCCCGTCTAAAATAGAAAGTTGATCCCAGCACTTGGGATACCACCTATGCCTTTAATCACAGCACCAGGGAGGTGGAGACAGGAATGATATGGCTGGGCAGAGAGAAAAATATAAAGTGGACGAAGACAAGAGCTCAGTGCAGTCCGAGCAACAGTTAGTCTGAAGTAGTCCAAGGAGCAGTCAGTCTGAGGAGGCAGTCTGAGGACAGGATCGCCCCTTTGGTCTGAGCATTGGTAGAGGTAAGAACTCTAGTGTCTGGCTGCTCTGCTTCTCTAATTCTTCAACTTTCACCCCCTGATAGCTGACTCTGAGTTTTTCTTTTTAAGACCAAAAAGAATTTGTGCTACAGTATATATATGCTATGTTTGTGTGGGTGCCCATGGAGGTAGAAGAGGACATTGAATCCTCAAGAGCTGGTGTTACAGCTGGTAGTGAGCTGCCTGGCATGGGTGCTGGGAACTGAACTTGTTTCCTTTGTAAGAGCAATAACTGCTCTTTACTGCTGAGCAACCTCTCCATCTCAGACATCTCAATTTCTTAGGAAAGAGAATAGAAGAGAGAGGTCTTGGGGGTAGTACTTTGCTTTGCTTGTTGGAGGAACAGGAGGACATATGGCTAGGAAAGTCTAAGCAAAGTGAAGTATAACAGGAGAAGGAGTTTGCAGGATGTTCTTATCTTCCAAGAACTTACACTGGAAAAATATAGATTTTCACTGTGAACAATTCAGGGAAGAAATTTGTTTATTTTGTTTTGATTCTTTTGACCCCAACCCTCACGTAATACAGTTGTTGGATCTGGTGTGTTTTAAAAGTTAAAAAGTATTTATGAATAATAGCAGATTGAGGGGCAGAAAACTTTCGAGTTTGCCTATATTTTGTATACTATTCAGAGTTATGATTTTTAATTATTTTTATTTTTTTATTTATTGCTTAGCCTTAGTTTACACAGCTGAGTCCATGATCAAAAGAAGATAAATACTGAGTAGATTCAATCTTGTAATCTTTTTAAAAGTTGGTTTTTTGTTTTTGTTTCTTTTTTTTTTTTTTTAACCTTATTTATTTTTGGTATTTTGAGACAGGATTTCTCTGTGTAGCCGTGGCTGTTCTGGACCTCATTTTATAGACTAGATTCGCCTCTAACTCAGAGACATGCCTGCCTCTGTCCCCAGAGTCCTGAGATTAAAGGCATGTACCACCATGCCCAGTTCTATAAAAAAAGTTTTAAAAATAAGTATTCTCAAGGCTTTCATTGGACAATTTTTAGATGAGTGATATGTCTATATTGGGATAAGAGAACTTGTTAAGTGCTAATAATAACAGTTGATATGATGTATGAAGATTTGTTAGAAAGGCAGAAGAGGGGAATTATTCCACTTTAAAATCTCCTTAGAATAGAGTGTTGGTTGCTATTCCTGCATGTTAGGGGCATGAGTGTAACAAGGAAACTGGATGCTGAGGTAGTAGCTTATCTGGATGGAGCCATCAGAATAACTGTTAAAAGAATGTGTTATGGCAGCTTTACAGGACTTATTCTCCAAACATGTAGTGGGCATGTTCTTGAAATTCTCTGCAAAGTTTTGAAAATAAGTCATTTTTCTAATTAAACTAATTTGTCCAACATAGGGGTGATTGAATAACATAGTTAATCTTTCATAATAGAATTCCTTTACCCCCATGGTTTTGGAATTTACTGTGTAGTTCTTAACTCAAGATAGACTTGAACTGTGTGTGCATGTGCAGAGATCTATGTTGGGTATCTTCCAAAAGGATCTCTTACTGATCTAGGACTTCCTTGATTTGGTTAGGGATCCACCTGTCTCTGTCCCACTAGAGATAGAGTTATAGATGTGCACTGCTATGCACCCAGCTTCTTCTGTGGATGCTGGTTGTTGGCAGTGAGGTATTCTTGCTTATGTTTGACAGGCACTTAGCTAACTAGACCATTTCCCTAGCTCCTGAAACTGCTTTATAAAAGAGTCTAGTTGGCAACTGACTTCATGGTATGAAATCTAAAATTGTTTTTTTTGTATTAAAATATTTTATTTTTTTCCAATTTTTTTATTTGAATTAGAAACAAGGTTGTTTTACATGACAATCCCAGTTCCTTTCTCCCTCCCATCTTCCCCTACCACCCCCTCCAACTAAAACCCTACCTGTCACATATCCTTTCTTCTATTCTTCCCCTGACTCAACCTTTCTGCTCCCTCATGACGTCTGCATCCTTCCTCTTCTTCCCTTCTCATTCTCATAGCTCCTGCCCCCCTCTTCCCATGCTCTCAATTTGCTCAGGGGATCTTGACCCTTTCCCCTTCTGAAGGGTACCATGTATGTCTCTCTTAGGGTCCTCCTTGTTTACTAGCTTCTCTGGCAGTGTGGATTGTAGGCTGGTAATCCTTTGTCTAAAATCCACATATGAGTGAGTACATATCATGTTTGTCTTTTTATGATTGGGTTACCTCGCTCAGAATGGCTTCTTCTACTTCCATACATTTTCCTGCAAATTTCAAGATTCCATTTTTTTTTTCCGCTGAGTAGTACTCCATTGTGTAAATGTACCATATCTTCTCTATTCATTCTTCAGTTGAGGGGCACCTAGGATGCTTCCAGTTTCTGGCTATTACAAATAGTTCTGCTATGAACATCGTTGAACAGATGTTCTTGATGTATGAATGTGCTTCTTTTGGGTATATGCCTAAGATTGGAATTGCTGGATCTTGTGGTAGACTGATTCCCATATTCTTGAGGAGTTGCCACACTGATTTCCAAAGTGGCTGTACAAGTTGGCGCTCCCACCAGCAGTGGAGAAGTGTTCCCCTTTCTCCACTTCCTCTCCAACATGAATTGTCATTGGTGTTTTTGTTTTTGGCCATGCTGACAGGAGTAAGATGGTATCTCAGAGATGTTTTGACTTGCATTCTTTGTATATTTTGGATATCAGCCCTCTGTCAGATGTGGGGTTGGTGTATATCTTTTCCCAGTCTGTGGGCTGCTGTTTTGTCTTGCTGACTGACTCCTTTGCCTTACAGAAGCTTCTCAGTTTCAGGAGGTCCCATTTATCAATTGTTGATCTCAGTGTCTGTGCTACTGGTGTAATGTTCACGAAGTGGTCTCCTGTACCAATTAATTCAAGGGTATTTCCCACTTTGTCTTCTAATAGGGCTAATGTGGCTGGGTTTAAGTTGAGGTCTTTGATCCATTTTGACTTAAGTTTTGTGCATGGCTATAGGCTTGGGTCTATCTGTAGTCTGAG